GTTTATTATTTCCATACAACGGCGCTTCTCAATTTTCTAGTATTTGGGACCCAACTTTCCATATTAGTTTCATTTGCGCCCCTTTCCAACGATTTTTTGGAGCTCTAATATTCTTTTAATAGCTTTCTTAATAGTTTACATAGTTTTTTAGAATTTTTTGTCTTTCTTCCATGCCTTCGTCCCCCTCAGTCTATCACTGCCGTAAAGCTAAGGCAGTAATATCATCTACAGAAAATGCTTCGAAACTTTTGTACTGACCATTTATTACAAAATCTTTCGAATTGAAACCGACCGTTTTCATCATATATCACGAACAAAATTTGATTCGCCAAATTTTCATTCGAATTTTATTTAATTAATCTGTGGTTTCGTATTCCGATTTTCGTGTCGCGTTTACGTCCGATTATAATCTCCGTGAGAGAGCATCCTAATTCAATACGGAGACCGCAACCGTCGAATAATGCACCATAAGTGTCAGTACGATTTATGCGTGCCGCGTACGTGGCTATAACGTTTTCACGGCCGAGTATGCGAGGCCAATATGCTGGAGCAAAATGGACGGGGATGTTGCTGGTAAATGGTGTGTCAGATAGCGTGGGCAATATTGCCCCGGTCTCTTCGTCGGCTTTCGGAGTCACCCTCTTGTATTTAAGCGAAAGGACCCGCGCCGATTATGGCCAAGGGGCCCTTCTCCACTTTTGTTTCCCGCCAAACCTATTGCACAGAATTCATTACATATATCATCGCCACAATTAATTGTCTTATTTGTCCGTTACCAGTTGTCCTGTACGATTATGAAATTTGTACAAATCGATTCTGTGTTATACAGGCTGCCCCAGCTGAAGGTGGCCACTTAAACATCTCCTTTTTTAAAAGCATAATTTGAACGATTTTGAAAAATTTTGTTTAGGTCATTTGGTTCGTGCATTTTCAAGGTCATCGGTATTTTTTTTGCAGGAGAGTATATATATATTATTTCTTTCTATTACGTCTTGTAACATATGAAAAAATATATTCAAAGATACCTGAGTGATGATCTTTAACACTAAAAAGGTATTGTTGACAATAGACATTACTTCAAGCATTGGTAACACAAAACAGTTTAATACCATTCTATGTAGTAACACTGTCTTAGAATGTGAACACTTTTTCGTGTTTCCATCGCTTTGTGGTGGATCAAGCTCTTGATAGTAGTTTTGGTAAATATTATATTGGCGCGTTCAACGGTTTTTCGGTAGGATCACGCGTAGGGTAACTCAGTGTTTGCAGAGTTTCGACTTGTGGCTTAACTCAATGTTTTCAGATTATTTGAGGGGAGCGTGTGGCTCCCGCAGAGTAAATACAGCGTGAAAGCTAAATACCTACTATAAAAGTATGCGAAGATTATAAATAGTGAGAAAGTCCCCTGTGAGATCCTTGTATTATATTTTAGATATCATTGAATTTTTTTATTCGATCCCCATTCAGATCATCGCTGAAAAATCTATACCTAAATATTTCATTAAGTAACTCACTATAAATAGATTAATTAACTAAATATTTTTCATTAATTAACCCACCTTAATATTTATAATTCGTCTAGTATATTGTATCTGCTTCCTTACAAAATTATTCAATTTCATATTCTAGGAAAATTAAAAAAATTTCTATAGCGATGAAGAAAAAATATTTGCACATTTCTTGTAATAGTAATTTATAATTGAAGTTCTATAGTGTTACTTGTTAATTATTTCCACAATGAATGAAAGTAGTCTTTACATTCTCATTGTAATTATGTGATCAATGTCTAATAAATACATGCTTAGAATAAATTTAATACTGAACAAATTGTTTCTACTTCGGATTCCTAACAACTCTCATTTGAAAGTTTAAACAAACAGGTGTTTAAAAGGTTAGTTTTTGGGTCTAATAAATCGATAAATGCAACAGTACAAATCAGTCACGTTTCTTATACTGAATTACCTACGCTACAATGTTGTAGGTATCTACCTAAATTGTTAAGTAAATTTTTTTATTATCAAAGTGTGAAAAATACTTTAAGAATCGAGCCTTTCAATTTCTATCATTTATTCACCGAAATACACCCGAAGTAGCTCCTTCTCACGCTGTTCTAGCATCACTTTCCGGCCCAATGGTTTCCTATCGAATAATGCTTCGAGTTCCCGTCGTCGCCAGCAAGATCAGATCTTTTGTGCTTCCGCCCGTGTTTCTTTCAGCGTGGATGCGCCAATATGGTAACGTACGGGCGCACACGTTGCTGACTTTGAAGCAGGTAGATCCACGTGCTGACACGTGTGCGCCGACAGATACGAACTTAATCGGCCGTGCTGTGCTCCACGTGCCATGAATTTAAGTATTTGAAAACGTCGATCTACCAGCATCGAGCTGCGACTTGAAATTACACCGGTGTTGAGAGAGGCGTATCACTTAGCATGGACACGGAATACATATATCTGGTAACGTTGATCTCATAATCACCCGAATCACAATTAATCAGCGATTAATACAGAAACGAGTAACAGGCATCGAAAGATGTAAGAATCTTTAGATATATTACAGTTGTTGGTCTAAAGTCGCGAAAAATTGCAATTTTCAACATTTTTAATCGTTTGTATCTCGTAGCAACGTTAACCGATTTTGATGAAATTTTCTACATATATATAACTAACATAAATCTTCGATATGTATTTATTACATTTTCATTATAGCCTCAGTTAAAAAAGTTGTAAAAAACGACCTTTACTATTTTCTTCGCGACTCGGACCAATTGCGACTTTTTCAAATTTTGTTTTCTCATCATTTAGTAAACTAATGTCTCTAAATTCACAAAAGAATTCAAGTCATTTGAACCAATTTTAGAAAAGTTGTTCCGTTTTAAAGGGTGAACGAATACTTTTGACAACCACTGTACGTTCTTTTTAAAGCACACTGTCCTGTATGCGTACATGTTCAAGCATTTCCGGAGCAATACATACTACTGAACATTTCTCAGAACTGCTGTAGAATCACCAGAATCTACAGCGTTTGATCAAATTATTAAACCCACAATACGAAAAGTATGTTTCTTCCTATTTGTGTAGAAATAAAATCACAATATCAAAGTTTTTACATTGGATAATTTTGTAATTGACAATTGCCCATTAAAAATACCCAACAATAATTAAACTTAGATTGTATAATTATAAAAAATACTGTCAAAATCGTGAAATCGTGAATTTATACAGGTGGCTTTAATAATTCGATCACCCCGCTGTAAATTTGACAACTAGTCCTTAAACGCACAAGATAACACTCGTAAATACAACTGTTAACCCAAGTACAGACGGTTTCCCATAAACCTCTTCTTAATTACGGACGATTCTCGAAGGACGGTGCATCGTTGAAGAGTAGTATCTCGGGAACCTAAGATGATCCGCAGGGTCACCCTTCGAAGATATCAAGATCGAAGATAGTCCTGAACGCATGCGTGCAACCGTTGTAAGGAACATAAGATCTTAACTGGTCGATCTCGTGACATATTCTGTTGGTCCCCCGTCCGTCCGTCTGTCTGTCCGTCCGTCCGTCTGTTCGGCTTCGTTCCATTCGTTCGTTCCCTTGGCTCGTCCGTCGGTTTGTCCGTCCGTGTCGCTCAGCGGGTGCCATCACCAGTTCTGCACCCTCGCATCCGTCAAAACGTTGACTCTTCTTTTATTACGCGGCAGGACGCGTTATAAATTTCGATGAACGATGAGCCGGTCGCCCGAAAGAAAAAGTCATTCCTACCTTCTTGAATAACCAATTACTTGTCGTGTACGTGAAAGTTTTGTCCCGCGGATCAGTGAAGTCGGTCGAGACCAATTGATAACTGCTTAACGGCAGTATTGTACAGTACAGTATAGCATAATCTATTGAATATTTTACAGACTATTGTACAGTCGTAGATTGGAATAATTAATAGATTATTGTATAGTCAGGGAAAAAGTAAGGGGTTCTAAAATTTTAATCGTTGTTCGATCAGGGGTAGGCTAAATATCAGTTAATGTTACTAAATCAGCATGCAGTGTATTAATTAATTTTGTGTTTTTTTTGGGATGTGTAAGTTTATAAGTAACATTTTTTAAATAATTTATGTCTACTACAATGTACTTACAAACTAATATTTGTGCAATGTCATGTTCCATTAGGATCTATATAACTCAGTTGCTGTCTATACGTATGCATAGGAATAACTTGAACGATACACAAGTGATAAATCGACGGTAGTAAATTTTGGCGATTTAATTATCCTCTGAGATTTGAGGAAGACTGTCTTTAGTATTTTTATCCTTAATATATTTCTTCGTAAAAAGGGTAGTATAATTAAATACTATGAACAAAGTGAAATAGTTAATTATAATTCTTAGATGAGATAAAACTATTAGGTTTGTAGACTGAAATATTAGTAATAGTCTTGATTACTTATTCGTATACAAATTATAAGTTTGTAGATTTGCGTTCCATAAAGTCTTAACTTTAGATTTCACGAAGAACTGTAAAATCGAAGTATGTACTACCTATGTAAATTTCAGGTTAGAAGGACCAAAGTATCATGATCTACATAACGAATACATAAAATAACAGATATTCTTTTTCTATAAATAGGTATTACAACATATCTTATGTGAATAGCATCCTTCTTTTATATTCACGCAAATGTTTAATCATTTACGAATTCGTCGATTTAAATGGCCTTAATATCAATTAATAATATCTCAACTCGTTACAATTATCTACATGTATCTACATCTATATTCAAAGCATTGTTAATTTACATCACTCAGCTAATCGCACACTGTAGATCTCCCCCTCTTCTAGCCAATGCGTCTTCCTTTGTCATACACGTCCTCTTTTGTATAAACTGAAATTTCACCCGAAAGTTAAAACGAAGCAAAGTACACGACTATCATCGCATCTAATTGTAAGACCATCTGATCTGAAGTTTGTTCAGACTAAAAATCGCCGCACTATTTTCGTTGTTCCAGGTCTCGAGTCGCAAGTACAGGATTCGAAAGACCTCTACTGGTTCTAGAAGCGAGCTTCTGAGTCTCGTGGGCCGAACAAACTCGCCGAATCCGCGACGAACACGAGCTCGAGACCGCAAGAACGTGTAGCAGTCGTTTGCTCTTCACCGTGATGCCGAGAGCGCCATCGGGGGTCACTAATCGGGGAACCGAGGAGAGGGACCGCGGAACACAACGGCTTGGAAATGTAGCGACAAAATGGCGATCGCGACACCTTCGACGGGACATCGGGGAAGAGACTAGCGTACTTTTAGACGACGTTAACGTGATATTAGCGTGCTAGGGGGGATCTGTTCGTTGGGTTTGGCCTCCCCGCGTACGATCACATGGGGGGCGGGAAGAATGGAACTTTGTTATTACGACCCGGAGATGGGAACGCGTGTTCGCGATATCGTTCCCGCCGAGTCGAGCATGTGTACATAGTGTTACCTAATTACTGTAAGGATCTACTATTAGCGTACAACTCGGATAGTATTAGAGGTATACTTTGCGCGCACTTATTACCTTCAATAGTGACTGGATGTCCGACCGGCAATTGAAATGAAACGAGCCTCTAGTTCGCATAGACTTTAGGGGATTAGGCCACTGATGGCGAGTCTAAATTTTCCAAATAATTATGGGACACGGTGGATCGATCGATCGTCACGATATCGGATGCATCTCGTGTCGAACGATATATCCATTTCATAGAAGAGAGAAAGAGAGAAAAAGAGAGAGAGAGAGAGAGAGAGATAGAGAGAGAGAGAGAGAGAGAGAGGGGGGTGAGAGTGAATGAGAGCGAGTGAGAGAGAGAGAGAGGGGAGGGAGGGGGAAAGAGGGAGAGAGGAGTGAGAGTGAGTAAGAGCGATGTGAGAGAGTGAGAGAGGGGTGAGAGAGAATGAGAGCGTGTGAGAGAGAGAGAGAGAGAGAGGGAGAGAGAAAGAGTGAATGAAAGGTGGTCCATGTTCCTTGAATAACATTATCGACCGTATAGAGTGTATTTTCTTTGATTACGTTCATTAATTAATTAAATGTATGAACATAGTTAATTTATTGAAGGAGGACTGATATAGATGATGAAAATCAAGGGATTAATTATTTGGTAAATTTAGCTGCAGACTTAAGTAAAATATTTATTGACCAATGATCTTGCCATGTATATATATATTATAAATATATATATACCTAATACTTATTATTATTGTATCATAACACCAGGCGCTGCAAAAATTCTGAAATCTCTCCCAGAGTCAGCAAATTAAAATAATTATTGCCCGAAATGTCACAATGATTCTTTACAATCCTTCCCTCCCGTAGGATTTAATCATTTGTCGTAAAAAACACACGCACGCACACCGTCATTTTGCCTAGCGGATTACTCTACCTTAAGCGCATCGTATCCATCTCATGTTATCGTCATCGTAGGTGTTAAATAAATGATGCATTAATATTATACCTTTGCGTTCTTCACATTTCACTTTTACCCACCGATTCTCTTTAATATCTTTACGACGACCGCAGTGACAAGGTATGTGTTTCTTTTTATCTTTTACTTCCAGTCTCTTTTTGTTTACTCCTTAGTATTTCGTATCATAGATTTAATAACTGTAATCGGATATTGAACAGACTGTTTTTTTGAAACATTTTGAAAATGCAATTCAAGTCAATTATTATCAATACTGCATATTAGGTCAGTGCAAAAGTTTTAATGGGTTTTGCTGTAAAAGAATAGTTTACAAATAAATTGAATTATAATTTACTAGTAATGTAATGAAATACATAATTATTCTTTTATAACGTAAGTATTTTTAATAGAAATTTGTATTCTAGTAAACATATTTTTGGAATATTATTATTCAGAGAATTAATATAATTAAGTAAATTATATTAATAAATTTACTGTGTACCACAGAGTGGGATTGACATAACAGCTTATTCAAACGGATCACAAATGTTTTCTACGCTGTCTGTAACGTATATTAACCCGTGGTAGGCATATTGGTGCGAATTCGCACCACAAAAATTTCAAGTGTTGTGTATTTACAGGTAAGTGACCGTATGAATCTTGCTCCACTAGGTTAAATAGATGTTTATTGTCTATCCCTTATAATGTCAGGTAGTAAGGGCCCAACGATCATTGACGGTTTAATCTTCGAAGGAACATCATCGAAAATGTGTGTTGGTGTGAATTTGCACCTGTGTGCCTATAACGGTTGCTGACTTGGTGTTTCCCCAAAATTTTAGGAAAGTGTTTTTGGCAGTTCTATTTATCTATATTTTATGCATTATATTTTTGCAAAATTGTTTCAAACGAATCTGCGATAACCTTAAATCAGAACTATGTGTGAACGAATCTATTACACTAGATTAAAAATAAGTTTTTTATGCTGTGATTTAAGTAATATTCTTAATCAAAACATTTTGTATGCACAAATCTTTGATTTTCCCATTTATGCCACTTCAAGAATACTTCAATTTCAAAGTACCTACTTACCTTAAAAAATATTCATTTATGTTTTATTTAATTGAAATTATTTTTCTACTATAGCACATTATTTAAATTGTAAAGCCCTAAATTTCAACTTTATTTTAAACAATAAGACAAACTGAATTGCGTAAATTTTTGTTTTAAATAACAATTCACTCTGTTATCGTCACATTCACACACGATACTCGACAACAATAATCGTCAGCAATCGACACATGTATTAACATAACTGTTCATTGTCTCCAGAAAACTGTGGCGATCACATCATCGACAAGAAAATCCATTGAAACTTTTGCACTGATCTAATATCACAAAGTTATGAAGTAAATATCCAAGACAATCTATTCACAGTTATGATCCATCATTAACGCGATTTCGAAGTCGTCTTTTGAAGTCGACCTGTCTGCCGCGACCGTTTCTTGTCAGAGAATATGAGAAACGCATAATATCTGGCCACCGTCGATCGCATATCCACGATCATGGAATTAGAGCAGGTATATCTGGCTGAGAAAATAGAATTTTACGTTTTTGCGGTTCGTTACGCCGTTGCTGGTTAATTACACACCACTGAATTTAGTGGCTCCACTCACGGCGGAAAGTTAATCGAGCACGTAATAAGAGGAAGTAATGGGGAATTTAATCTTCTGGAATTCTACGCTGAACTTTCGTTTTAGTTCGCCTCCCTTAGATACGTTCATATTGTGCTTCAACCATTCGGTAATTTTGTTCATCCCAGAAATTTCTTTTTCTCGCTATGAGTGCTGGCAATTTAATAGTTATGATTAGGTTACAGATTTCATGCATTTATAGCATACAGAAGTACGTGAAATACAGTGAAGGTGAAAAATTAGATCGATTTTCATAAATTTTTTTATTTCATTTTTATCCTATTAAAATCCCTGAGTGAAGAAAGAATTTTCTATTTTTATGTAGTCTTGTCTTTAAAAATCACTTCATAAAAGGATATTTTGCGTAAAAATTCGAAGTCTAGTTATGATTCTTGAGTGTTGCGGTATACGAGATGTAAATCGTCATTATGTGATTCTATTTAGTATACCGTTGGAATAACTTTATGAATCGGTAGGTATGTTAATATTTTTTATACATTCGGATAGTTCTTATAGATACGATACAAATGATGACTATTTAATTTAACGAAATCATTTTGTTATCGATTCGGGCATAATCATAAGCAGACCAAAACTTCTTATTCTCGTAAGCAGTCTAATCTATAGATCAAGTCAGTTGACAGAACAGAAAAATTCTTTTGTAGTAGGTATATTTGTAAATTATTAAGAGTAAAGTAGTGTTTTAGTATTTATATGCACTTTCGAAAGGCACCGTTTAACAATAATAGCTGCGAATGTGCAAGATATGATAAATTAATAACTGTACTAAACTTTCTCGAAGTTCGTCTGATATTTTTAACTCAACTAAATACTTACTAAAACGAGATCTACTCAATTTCGGTTTTTGGGAATTAGTCTTCGTACCGTTGAGTTCGCATAAACAACCATAGATTGCCATTATATTTTATTCATTCAGCATATTTCTCGAGATGATAAGAGATCATCTGTAAGGGTAGCCTGATTTTGTAACAATCACAAAAAGAAATAAATATCAGTGTATTAATTTTTGTTTATTTCGAACCAATATTACTCAATATTGATAATTAATCGTGACCGTACAGTTTACAATGGAATCTAAAGCAATGAAATATTTTGGTAGCATCATTGACCGGAAGCTCAAAAATAAATATTTCAAAATAGAGTTCTCCTTAATAATATTAACTTCTTTTCATTTAACTATTACAAATCCACAAATAACTGCAAAAATCGTTTCTACAGATTGAGTCGTTAATAACCCAGTTTACTGGTTGATGTGACGTAAAATAATTAAATTAAAAACAGTCCACAAATACTACACTCTAAAGTAGCAACATTAGCAATTTAATCCCGTAGAAATTTGTAAACATTTGTCAGCCCATTTTCTATGTTACACAGCAGCTGAGAATCTCGTAAAGGGACAATTCATAATAGCGGACGATATTTCAGGAAAAAACAGATGTACAAATAGAACTAATATTCCAAATAGCAATGAATGCTGTCGGAAGACATGTGTTCCTATCGGTGAACGATTTCCTTTACACGTGCGTCGTTCCGCTTTTCCTATGTCGCCGATGTGTCCCTACCAGGGCAACGTTAACGAGATGAGAAAATGAGCAATTAACTTCGTCACCTAGGGGAAACGATGGTCCTGGGATTCGGACGATCGTTGTTATCACGTGTAAAACACGTGTAGCCTGACCCTGCCACGAATGTAAATGGACCGAACGACAAGGTGGCGAGAAATTTTAACGAGATCCTGCGAGACTTTTCGTGAAAGAATAACGACAACTTCGAGCTTTGACGGGAACTAAATCAAACTGCAAAATGAAACACGAATATTGTGTAATTTTGGTTCTATGACGTTGTTGTATTAATACATCGTATTAGATGTTGGGATTGGTAATATTTTAATGTCATTTTAATAATTACATTA